TTTTTTTTTTTTTTTAAACCAGCTGCTTCACAGGAGAAAGATGAGGCAGTCAGCTTTCATAAAGATTATAGCCATGGAAACCCTAGAGGTCAATTCTATTCTGTCCTATAGGGTCACTATGAGTTGGAACTGACTCCATGGCAACAGACATGGTTTTGGTTTACTGGAATCTAATGCTTTTTTTTTTTTAAAACCATGATTATAATTACCACTACTTCTGGTCACCACCAAAAGTAGTTACTCCCAGATGCCTTACTGGCTGGTTACCCTGGTCAAGTTACTCATCCTTTCTAGACCATGGGTCCCTTGTCAGTTAAATCTACAAGAACACACACTTATAGGCCTGCTGTGAGGACCCATTGAGATTAGGAATAGAAAGTATTTAACATGGCGTCTGACACATGCTCAGTTATGGTATGATATAGGCAAGTTAACAGTATTAGTATCATTATTATTGTCAGTCAACATACATGTATAGAAAAGCATTCTACACTTCACCAGTCAAGCATAAGCTGAAAGATTTTACTGGGACTCAGTCCCCCAAATTCAAGCACATGAGCTAACATTAAGGAACTCAACTGCCCATGCTGACAACATAGCAACCCAACAATTTTAGATGCAGCCCCCAGGAAAACTTGTTCTTATACTTACACTAAATAGCAGTACAGCTAAGAAAAAAACCAACTCAAAACCAAACCTAAACAAAGGAAAATGTAAAAGGCAGGGGAGGAGAAGAGAAAGAGGAAGAGAGGAGAGGAGCAGGAGAGGAGAGGGAGGGAGAAGAGGAGGAAGGAGTGGAGAGGGAAGGGGGAGGGGAAAGGGAAGGGAGGAAAGGGGGAGGCCGGAGAGGGGGAGGTAGCGGACTGGGAGAGGGAGGGGAGAGGAGGGGAGAGAGAAATCAAATAGCTACATATCCTTGGGTGCTTTGTTTCTTTTTTACCTGTCTATTTACACTATCTTCTTTACACAGAGAAATACAGACACTAAAACAAATAACTTTTTGGCTACTTGCCTATTATAAATCATCATTCACCGTAATTAACTGGGTGAATGGTTATTCTCAAGGATGCTAGTCATCCTATTTGGTGGTGTAAGCACTTTGAATGTCAACGTTTAAGACTAACTGCTAAAAATACCTTAATAGCTTTGCTATTTTTCATAACAAAGCTGGAGTTTACATGGGATACATGTCCTTTCTCTGCTAGTCTAAGTACACATATCATTTGCAATATAATCGCAATAAATCAACATCAGTTTCTAGAGACAGTGTGTCATTCAACAGTTTACTATTCTCCAACAACTATTCTTTAATTAAAAACACACGGAAGTAATTCATACACTCTTGAATTAAAAGCACAATCTCTGCATTTCAAATTAACTCACATTTTCCAGTTCTTCACAAACACAAAACGTATCTTTTCATTATTCTCTTCCACCTTACTATTAGAAGTAGAAAGTACTGGAGTACTAGTACTAGTACTCTAGTGAGTACTAGAGTTCCTTCTTGTTACTAATTATATCATAAAAATTATAGGTTCTGCTCTTAAAGTAATTGTACTCATTTATATGTATTAATTTTTCATTTGATGGTTATTGCAATTGCTCCCTTGTTTTTTGTTTGTATTTACCATTTCCTTCCAAACAACACCTTTCTTCTAGCTCCCCACTAGCACTATGATTTAGAATCCTGGTGAACTAGAGGATAGCATCTTGTTAAACTTCTCCTTACCCTTCCACCATGCTCACCCACCCCACCTCCTCATTTCTTATCTTGCTATCTTACCTTCCACTCTGTTTCACAGTCCCACAAGTTATCAACAGTTCACAGGTAGCATTTAGCACAACGGCCCCCACACCCTCACACATACAGGTACACCCCCCAATCCCTATGGAGCAAGCTAAAATGTCATTGAGACCACTGACTTTGACATTGAGTCATGTATTTCCACAGGATTTGCTGACAGAGAAAGGACTAGGGAGACACAAAATAATAATAATTTCTCCTTTTCAAAGATCCCAGAAAGACAGTCCTACCTTTCCCAAGATCTGGAGGAAAAGGCCTTCCAAACTCCTGCAGCTTTGACTTTAAAGGATGTGGCCCTGCCATGCCCCCAGCCTGGGTGACCTCGAACCGAGGCTTGCCATTGGTCAGCACTTGTCTCCGGGGGCTCAGAGCAGGCAGGTGGATGGGGTTCTCGGCCATGTTGCCCTGAGGGGCCATCCCTCCTCCAGAGGGCATCTTGAGATGGAGGCTATTAGCGAGGTTCCCAAGAGCAGGGCTTGGTGAATTGCCACAGGAAGAGGGGCCAGGAGTCCCCGAGTGGGTGCGGAGGGGAGGAATGTGGGGGACACTGGCCATCCCAGGCCCCTGGGGGGCTCCTGACGTCCGGTGCAGATTCATGCTGCATGCCCTTCCATTCATTCTGAACAACCTGTGGCCAGGATGGTCAATCTCCAACAGCACAACCTACTCCTTTCAGGCCAAGTCCAATAAGTTATCCATGGTGCGGGTCAGAGCCTGTTTAAAAAATAATGAAAGCAGGTGTTTTTAATGAAAATAGGTTACAGTGAGTTTTCAACCTATGTAACGTTTATATCAAGAAGAAGGAATTCTTATAAAGTGGTCTTTTATTCAGAACAAGTCACCAAATGCATGGCTCAGTGGCATGCACCCTTCCCTGCCATTCCCTGCAATGGTAGTTATGGTAGACATGGAATATGATCTGTTACAGATTGAAGTGTATCCCCAAAAAAATCTATGTTGTAAATCCTAACCCCTATGCCTGTGGAATGAAGAAGCTCCAGCGGCACAGGTAGTTGAAAGCATTCATCTGCTAACCAAAAGGCCAGTGGTTTGAGCTCACCAGCTACTCTGTGCAGAAAAGATGAGGCAATCTGCTTTCATAAAGATTCACAGCCTTGGAAACTCTACAGGACAGTTCTACTCTGCCTTAAAAGAGTTGCTAAGAGTCAAAATCAACTCAATGGCAGTGCGTTTGTTTTCTTCTAATACCTGTGGTTAAGGAGCCCTGATGGCACAGTGGTTAAATGCTGCTAACGGAATGGTCAGTGGTTCAAACCCACTAGTCACTCCATGGGAGAAAGATATGGCAGTCTGTTTCCATACAGATTTAAAAAAAAAAAAAAAAAAAAAAACTCACTGTCATAGAGTTGGATCCAACTCATAGTGACCCCTCCTCCTTGGGTTTCTGAGGCGGCATCACTACGAAAATAGATTGCACAACCTTCCTTCCGTTGAGTGGCTGGTGGGTATGAACCTACAGCCTTCTGGTTAGCAGTCAAATGCCTTAGGCACTACAGGAGCTCAGCTTTGGAAATCCTATATAGGGCAGTTCTACTCTGTCCTAAAAAGTCTCTATAAATTGGAATCAACTTGATAGCCATAATCCTGTTTGGGAATGGGGTTTTCTTTGTTACGTTAAAGAGGACTTACTAATGGAAATCATTCTCTGTTGAGATTTAAAAGAGCAGATTAAGCAAGCACAATAGCAAAAAGTTGGGGGAAGACAGATGCCATATATGCTCTCTAAGGACCAGGAAACAAGATGAACAGAGATAAGAACCTTCCCCCAGAGTGACAGAGAACACCCTTCCATCTAGAACCAGCACCCTGAACTCACACGTCCAGCCTCTTACACTGAGAGAAAATAAATTTATTAAAGCTACCCATTTGTGGTTTCTGTTATAGCAGCACCAGATAACTAAGCCATGGTTACTGCACCACTGTGTTTGCCACTGAGCTCCTCTCAATACAGTGCTCACGGCAACTGCACCCAGTTACTGGTCAGCTTGTAAAATGAAACATACTCTGCTCTCTACAGGATGTGACCCTACTAGTTGACTTTTGATCCAAGTGGGTCTTGGGAAACCCAAAAACCACAACCTTCATGAGCTGTGAGACCACTGCTTCAAAAGGCCTAGCAAACAAGCAAAAACCAGACAACAGTGGATTCAAACATGAAAATGACACAGGACTGGGCAACACTGTGCTCTGCTACTTATAAGGTCACCGTGAGCCAGAGCCAACGTAACAGCAACTAACAAAAACAACAAAGCCAGCTCTGGTTTGCACTCTAAAGCAATCTTTCGCAGAGTCCTTAGATTTACAGATGAAAACCTGGATCTGGGAATGTCTTTTATGCAAGGTTGGTAGGCATTCACAGAAGCAGAACAGTCTTAGTTCCAGATTGATCTGAGCTACGAGGATGGAAACAGAACCAATACTACAATACTCTGATCTTCCATGAAGATTCTACAAAAGTGAAAAAGCTATGAAAAATGCCTTATGAAAGCATAAACCAAACTCCAAACTCACTGCTGTTGAGCTGACTGTGACACATAAAAATCCCTCCTTGGGTTTCCGAGGCATTATCTCTATGGAAGTAGATTACCCAATCTTCCTTCCAAGGAATGTCCAGTGGGTTTGAACCACCAGCCTTCTGGTTAGCAGTCAAAGGCATTTAGGCACAATGTCACCACAGCTCCTCCTATGAAAGCATAAGGAAAGACCAAAACCAAACCCACTGCCATCAAGTTGATTCCAACCCATAGTGACCCTATAGGACAGAGCAGGGCTGTCCCATGGAGTTTCTAAGGCTGCAATCTTTACAGAAGCAGATTGCCAAGTCTTTCTCTCACAGAGTTGCTGAGTGGGTTTGAGCTGCCAACCTTTCAATTAGCAGCTGAGCAGTTACCACTGTATCACCAGGACTCCTTATAAGGAAAGATATCTCTTCTAAAGCTGAGCTGTCCAGGATATTCACCATGGCCACATTCCTATGAAGTTTCCTACCCCACATCCTCACGTGGCAGAGGGGAACCAAGAAGTACTGACAGGACCACAGGATGCATCAACCACCTATATGTGATGATGACAATACTACTTACTTCTAAATCATTCCCTGCCTTAACCAATGTTGTTAGAGGCTATCAGGTCAGCTCCAATTCATGGCAACTTTATGCGGAACAGAACAGTATGTTTCCTGGTCCTGCAGCATCTTCATGATCAAGCTATGTTGGCAGTATTTCCAACATCAGCAAGGTCACCCATGGTGGACATGTTCCAGCAGAGCTTCTAAACTAAGATGGACTAGGAAGAAGGCCTTGTGATCTGTTTCCAAAAATTAGTCAACGAAAACTCTATGGATCACAATAGAACACTGCCTGGACCGATAACTCCCCAAAACATATGCATTAAGGTGACTAAGAGCCATAGTAGTGCCACTTGTTTGTTGCTAGGTGCTGCTGAGTCAGTTCCAACTCAGAGAGACCCCACGTACAACAGAATGAAACACTGACCAGTCCTGTACCATCCTAACAATTGTTGTGTTGTTTCAGTCCATTGTTGCAGCCATGTGGCAATCCAACTTGTTGAGGGTCTTCCCCTTTTTCACTGACCCTCGACTTTATCAAGCATAATATTCTTCTCCAGGGACTGGTCCTTCTTGAAAACATGTCCAAAGCATATGAGACCAAGTCTCATCATCCTTGCCTCTAAGGAGCATTCTGGCTGCACTTCTCTCAAGACAGACTTCTAGACAATACTGGCCATCTATTCCCTACTCATTGACAAAAGTGTTTTCTGAGCATTCTGAACTCTGCAGAAGAAAGTATTTACTCAACACCAATCCTTCGCCAAAAAATGGCAAAAGAAGTATGTTACACTGGCAATTTGTTTAAAATGAAGAATTGTCCAAAAAGATTGCTGGAAGTATGAGTCACTGAGACCATGGTCCGAGTGACAAGTGTCTGCAGATTTACAGACTGTGCCCATTTCCAGGTTTTTAAAAATAAGGGAGTCATTTTTGGCAGAAAGATCATATACAAGCAGGAATTCTCATCAAAAATCTGGATAAAAACCTAAGTAGGCACCTTAGTGTTAGGTTAGATCATTAAGGAGGTGAGTTTGCAAGCAGGAAAAATAATTAAAGTGCTGAGAACTTAATTAGGCATCAGACACTCACACCTGCCTGTCTTGAATGGGATATTTATTTTTAGTTTTTATAAACTGCACTCCTCTTTCAAATTGCTTTAGGTTGAAAGAAAAAACAACAACAAAAAATGTACTTAAATTTTATTACTAAAAAAGCAGCAGCCAGAGAGTAAAGTGATTAATACCATAAAGAAAAACCAATAGATCAATGACATATGAGGTGAAAAAACACAGTCTCAAGACAAAATTTAAAAAAAAAAAAAAGTAAGTGAAAATATGCCTAAATTTCAGCTTCCACATTAATTATGACACTAGATATTTCAAGTGTAAGATCAACTAATCAGTTGCCATTAAGTCAACCCCAAATCGTGGCAACCCCATGTGTGTCAGAGTAGAATTATGCTCCATGAGGTTTTCAATGGCTGACTTTTCAGAAGCCGATTGCCAGGCCTCTTCTCAGAGGTACCTCAGGGTGGACTCAAACTTCCAACCGTTTAGATAGCAATCTAGCATGTGAATTGTTTGCACCACGGGGGAATCCCAAGTATAAAAATACCAGAATTAAAAAATCAGTGTAGTCTATTCAAATTACAGGTAGTCCCTGATTTATGACGCATTCAAGTTACAATAAACCGTGCTTAAAATGTTTGTGGGTTTTTTGTTTTGTTTTGTTCTTTAGTACATCTGCCTAAGGCATTTGACTGCTAACCAGAAGGCTCAAGAAGGTTCAAACCCAGCACCCACTCCACAGAAGGAAGACTGGGAAATCTACTTTCATAAAGATTTACCACCACGGAAACCCTAAGGGGGTCACTATGAGTCGGAATGGACTCAATGGCAGTGAGTTTGGTTTTATTGTTAGTACTATGTTCTGCATACAGTGTTCAGTATGTGATTTTCTGATGTGATCATTCTCAGGTGTTCATTCATACATGTTCAAAGATCAGATTTATAAAGATACTGATAATAAAAGGCAATAATAATAGGGGAGAGAAGGTATTCAACTTCCATCTAAACAAGCTTACGACGGAGTCCTTAGAGCAGAACCCCACTGTAAATCAAGGACTAAGTGTATAATATTTTTCTATGCTTTTTAGCTAGGTCATATGATTAGCTATAATCCTAAATCGACCTGGTAACAAAAAAAGAATAAACAGTTAACTTTCAAGAAAGAAACATCCTCACTGAGGGAAAAGAGCCCACAACTAGAAGTCAGGATACCTGAATTCTGTTTTGGCAAATCATTTATAACTTCTCTGGACTTAAAAGTTTGCTCGTGTATGAAATAGGGAAGGTCTAGATAACCACTAAGGTCTTTTGAAAGTCTGTAATTCCAAGTAATGACCAAAAACACCAATTTATTATGCTCAAGTATAAATATGCTAATTTTACACCTGTGGGGCTTTAAATCTTTGAGAACTGGGTAGTCACAAAAGGAAAAATACCAGTAGCCCTGATGCCACAAAATCTAAAGCAAATGGAAAGGCACTCACGCCAGCAATGCACTGAACGACAACGCTTAGCATGAAAAATGAATTTTAGGATTAAATTTTCAAATGCAATGC